GTGGTGGGATTATTATTTTTTTTATTATTATCATCATCATCATCATTATTATTATTATCATTATTATCATTATTATTTAGACAACACTGTGATAATTAATCTATCCATTTCTAAAATGTACTTGGTGAACTGCCAAGCTGAAAATACAATGCAAAGAAATAGGGGAATATAAGCAAAATAACTCAGAAGCACCAGGTGCTGGTGGAAGAGCACCCCAACCCCCTGACAGTCCTGTTTAATCCTGTCCCACTGTGCAGACATTTCCTGACTCACTGGGGTGCAGAAACGTGGGGCAATGAGAGGTCCTATAGTGCTTATGATATCATGGTACATTGGACAGTTTCAGAAAACCAAGGGGCCCCAGGGGTGTGACAGACAGTACATTATCTAGGAGTCAGAAGGAGGGCACAGCAGGTTCTCCACCTCTGTGGGCTCGCCAGCTGTTCCTGAGGGAGGGAACGGGGTCTTTCTCAGAGTTGGGAGAAGGGAGCATGCTGAAGCAAGGAAAAAGTGGGTGCCTCAGATCAATCTGCCTATAGCAGGCACATGGAGACCCTTGAGAAAAATTAGACAGCCTGTGACTACCTCATATGCTCCTCCTTGTTCCCACTGTGCTGGGAATTGCCCCTTGTAAGGGCGAGGCAGGAAACACACTTTTATAAGCTGGGGTGATGCTATGTATAAAGACACCTTGTCTTTATGTACCTGTCCTAATGCCTTTTCCACAGGAAATAGTATCTGTCCCAACATATCTTTCAAGATGGAGGTCCAAGAGGGAGCCCTCAAAGACAGCCTTTGTGCCTGCAACCACCCTGTGGCATCAAGCCCTGCCAGCAGGTTCCCGGCTGCTAAACCTTCCTGCAACTTAGCAGCAGTTTCAGGATATGTAGCTGTTCTCTTGGCAGATGATTTAGTGACCACTTCAAACCCTGAGAAAAGTTATTATAGTCTTCAATATCAACAGCAATGACAGGCAATAATGACACCACTTCAAATTACAAGATTTGTAACATATACATCTATACATAGATTACGGTAAGATACCTAAGTAGCCTACCTCACAAAATCACAGAAAATTCATAGAATAGTCGGCTGTTGACAGTATTTGTGAATTGCTTGTCCTACACTATTAAACCTGGTTTCACATTAGCACTTATTTCAATTTTTTACCTGCTTGGTGGAGAGGACAAGGACCTCTGTAGATTTACACCCGAATTCATATCATGGTAATATGGCTGGCTCGGAAGCTCTCCAATTGGGAAGTTCACTCCAGTTCCCTGGGTTATGGGTGCTGAAAAACATATTATCATAACAAGTCAAAGATAATCTTCTGTCTTTTTAGCCATCTTTTCATTTTTAACACTGGGAAAAACATCAAGATGTTACTACATGTATCTAATTTTCTGCCTCTTGCAGAAACCAAGTACAGACAAGTTCTATCAATGTTTATATATCTAAAAAAGTGAATTATCTTCCCCAGTCCCTAGAAATCCCTTAGCAGTTATGCAGACATAATATATTTGTTGTATAACAGATAACCTGGAATCATCAATATGAAAAAGGTAACATAAACCTCGGCACAAAGTCAAGCCTTTTGTAGAAGGACTTTTATAATGAATGAGGCAGGGTTTATAAGGACAGCTAACACTATTTATTAAAGAACTGAAATAACTGGAAAGAACAAACTTGGGGACACACAAACTCTTTTTCCCTTAATGTTAACTCTTTCGTATTAATAATAGCCTCCTGTGCTGACAGCATGTTTTGCTGCCTCCTTTTTCTTTCACTCAGTGCCACAGGTACTGCTTTGCATATGTACACCTACACACAAACACACACACTCAGCGTTATCTTCACCTCCTTACAGAGTCTGTGTACCATACGTCTTGGCATTTCAAGAATAAATTATGTGTTGCATATTGTGCTGTATTTACCTTTGTTCACTGTCTGTGCATTGTGCATTTTAATTACCTTTGGCACTTAAAAGAATAATTGCATGTTGTGTAATGTATCTGAAGGTTTGTATTTTTCCTGACAGTTAAAGTACAACTCTGTTGCGGCCTGAGGTTAAACAAATGCATGGTAAGAAATCCCACAGAAACCACATGCTTTAAAGCTTATTATTAGAAGTATATCATGTATAACAGCTGCAGAAGGTACGATTTCATAACATAACTACCATATTGATTCTTTTTTAATCTGAATGGCCTGATACTTTAAAACGTATTTAACCACATGACAACTAAAAGAAAGCTGTATATTGCACATCCTCAGACTCCTAAAACAGCAAAACCTTATCTTCAGCAGGCACAAAAAAGAATGTGTCTTAACACTGCAGGATGGCAATGTTCAGTATTTTGCTGAAGGACTTAACATAATTTTAATTGTTGAATATTAATTTCTGACCACAGCAAATGAAACGACACATGCACCTTAAGCCTAAGTTAATTAAATTCCTCAAGCATCCTGACCTGGCTTGAATTAAGTCCTGTGCAAAATTTGGACAGACAGTTTTGGAAACTTGTCCCTCACTGGTTTTGTCCTCGTCTCATCAGAAAAGAGATTTTCCTGGACCATTCAGTTGTTATAATGTTGGTGTCATCACTGCGGACACTTCTAACTATAACTTTCAAGTATTTTTTTCACTTCTTAATAAAGTTGTAAGAGAAATATTTTAATAATGTTGATACTAAAGGGAGAAAAGAAGTGTTCAGAAAGCAATTTCAAATGAAAATATGCACTGGTTTGATACCATACTATTATAGCAAATTCTTAGATATCAACAAAACAGATCTTCTTATTTATGTTCGTTTTGTTTTTTCTTTCTGCAATAAAAGCTTCTCCTGTCCTTTTATATTTATATTTTATATTACTTTTTGGTTTTGTGTGTTCATGTGCATAACATTTCTGATGCCAAAACAAGCCAATGTAATTAGAAATTCAGTTACATCCAGTGCTATGAGTAAAAGAAACACAAGCGTATAATACATTAAGTTAGTCATCCTTTATATCCATGCTGTGATTTTTCTTTTAAGAGCTACAAATTCAAAAACAAACTAAAATAATCAGATGGTTTAGCAAAACCCAAGGATGTGTAGGACAACCTTAAGAAGCTGCAAGTCTAACAAATAGAAGGTGTTGTTACGTATGGTAATTATATTGACACATCAGTCCATTAAGCTGTGCAGGGCGACACGTAACAAATTGATTCAATCTTTAAATATCGAAGAGACAAAAGAAGACTTCTGTTTGTTTTATTACAAACACATGCAAGATGAACTGCAATACTGTGGTCAAAGATATCAAAATTGTGCATGGTTATAGGCATTTCCTACGCATCTTACATCTTGGGCAGAAAAAAAAATTCAAGAAAAAAACCTTCTCTTGATTATAGCAGGCTTTGGAAATTATTAAATGCAAATGATAACTTACTTCTGGACACCCTCACAAGTTCTGACACGTTGAACACTCCAGATTTTACAAAACTGTCCTCAAGGTACACTGAAAAAGATCACAATACCGTAATCAGTATAATGAGAAGATTAATAAATAACTATAGATAAGTTTATACACCAGCTAATAACAGTATCAACAGAGTCCCAGAACTATAATACACAGACCAAAGTAGACTGAAAGCTGATCACAGGATCTAATGAGAGCTGAAATTCAGGCAGAGGTGCAAAAAACCTTGAGGAGTTGTGAGAACGCAATTTCTTAATACATGTATGAAAACTAACAAGCAATACACTGAGTTCCTAGCTAACCATCCAGAAAATGTCTAAAAACTGGTTCCTTTTACTAGTATTTTCAATTTTTAAGTCAGTATTGAACTAAGAACTGTATCAGCTGGACTAAGCAATTTCACCATAGAGCCACCTCACCCAGCACCTCTGATATTATTTACCAGTGCAGGTATAAACAATGCACCCAACAACTCAAGCTGAAAGAACATGAACACATCCAACTAAGCACATTTCCTGTTACGCTGTTACACCTGTAAGCGAATGTCAGTCTTCCCCAGCTGAAAAACCATCCCAGGAGCAAGTGCAGTGGGCATGCAGAGCACCATAGGCCTGTGGGATCATCCTGAACGATGTTATGCCAATGCCATCACCTTCTCATCTTCCAGTCAACATTACTTCATATGAAGTAATGCCACTTCATGCCACTTTCATACGATATCCCTGCCTGTCTTTATTTCCACTAGTAGTTCTGCAGGTCTCCCTCTCTTTTTTCTTCACTTCCTTTCACATTCCATTCCCTCGCATTTTCAACAGCTTCTGTCCATATCCGTTACTTTTTCCTCTCTTATTGTCCTTCACCTGGATGTTGCAGGCCTCTCTGCAACCTTATTCATCTCCAGTTTCTAAAAAATAATAGCCTTTCTCTTTCATCTTCTGCATTCTCTTGCACCCCTTTCTCCATATTTTTTGTGTGGATGAAAACATGACATGGCTTCTCAAATATTTACTTCTTTATTTGACAGAACTTGGCATACCCATATCATAAAAAATTGCAGAGAGTTAATGTTTCTTTTTCCCTTCTTCCTCAGTTTTCATTTTTTAACCTAAGAATGGGCAAGCTGGATGAACACTAATAATTCCTCCAACAATAGCAATCTTTCCCTTCTCTGCCTATTTCCTCCAGCAGGAACAGTCCGAAGTAGTATATGGAAGGGAGATCGCCAAAGAAAAATTCGGTTTCTTCATTTTAGTTGGCCTGTAAGCGAAGAGTGGCTTAAAGCCAGTGTGCAAACATGCAGCCAGCTCTGGAGCTGGTAATGAGACAAGACTGAACTTCTCTGCTGCTTAGTCAAATACCACTACTTTGAAGCACAACTTCTCTCATTCAGGTTAGGCTAACTTGAGAGGAGCTTTACCCAAGTGTAGATTAGTCAAGCTATCATTACAGTGAGAATAAGCCCCAAGGCTCATATTAAAAAAAGAAAATGCCCATGTAGGATTTTATATGTAAGAACACAGATGTATACATGTGTATGAGCACACACACAGAGACACACAGAGACGACACACAGACACACATTTAATCTTCAACACTCTCTCATGAATTCTTAGTTTTTCTCACTGGCAATACTGAGAATACCCACATAATATAAAGAGCAATATAGTGTGTTTCTCTCCTTGTGATAATGAAATGGGAGCAGGGTAAAAATTCTGCCACCGAGTTGTACCATTATCACCCCCTCACAGAAGGATGCATTGCTGACTGTCTTTCACACAGGTTTCGCCCTGCCTTGGATGGTCCAAAAACAATGACACCCACAGATATATGCAAATGCTTTGCCTGGCATTAGGAAAGAGACGGAAACTGCAGCTACTGTCAATCTCAATCAACTTAAAAAACAGCTTGATTTTTTTCTCTGTGTAATGTGACAAAATATTATTAAAAAATTGATGCAACAATAAACAGTCTATGTCACAGACGCTGAGCAACTTCATCCTGAGCCTTATGTTCTAACAGGGAAGGTGGATTCCAGTGGTGCCTCCAAGTGCAGAAAAATAAACAGTATGTTCAGTTCCAGCACCAGTGGACTTCAACAGCTTTAACTGGTTAGGAAGACAATCCGTAGTGGGTATGCTACAGAACTGTTCGTGGCTCCCAGCTGTTCAATAGGAAAATGTTCTGTGCCATTAATCTGCTGTAATTTGTTGCAGAAACCTGCACTCTACATAGGATAAACAGCAAGACTGTATGCAGCAGGACAACAGTATAGGACATTTTGACTTCATGGTGTGAGACGCTGCCTTTTACCTTGTGAAGCTGATCTTCCTACTGAATAAGAGTTAACATTCATATCCATGTTATTATACTGCACACAAGAAAAAAATATGTGGTGATACCCCGTATACTATAGGTCCTACTGTTTTTTTGATTAAGCATTCCCTAATGCACTGCTTGCGTTAACATGTTAAAGAGCCTTAAATTAGCATTCTTGGTGTGTGTTTCTGATCTGTTCAGTACAGAAACTAACGCACTTGATAACAGTCTATTGTTGTATTCCTCATAGAGGATTTACTGTATCTTTTGATGGTCATGACAACACTTTGCTGTCTTTATTCTTCAAACCTAATATAAGCACTGAGTATTGTCATTTACTAAAACTCATCTTGCCTGAGAGATGACACTCTCTGAAATGCATTTCGCTAATTGTCATTATTCTTAAAAATCTGAGTTCTACAGAAAGAACATTTCTGCCAAAACCACCATAGTGCAATTCTGTATAAACAGTAACTTCCAAAACCCATAAATAACAGTGGATTTTTTTCTGTATTTCCTTTTAGTTTTTGTACAGGGTGAGTGTAAAAACTGTCTTCTCTCCTTACCTTTTTTACAGAAAACTCATTTCTGAAAAATATGTTTACCAAACAACACTACAATGACCAGACCAATGCCATCAAGGGTGAAAGATAAACAGGTTAAGCCAAGCCGCAGTTCTGATCAAGCTCCCCTCATACAGTCAGTAACAGGAGAAACCTTCAGTAATGCTTCCAACTGCTGTAGAAGTTATTCTGTCCTAGTCTTTATATATCTTCCACTCTATTCCTGTGCTATGCCTTCAAGAGCTGAGTTACAAGTATAGCTTTTAACCATGCTAAGACTTAAAATGGAAAAAAAAATGTCTAAACGTACTGAAAAATACTTTCAGTTTGCACTAACATGTACTGTAAAGGGCTTGTTCTCATATTACCTAAAAGCTTACCAGTGACATCTGGCTTTACAAATCTTTAACCAGCCTTTTTTATGTCTTCTGATTTAATTCTACTTTTATGAATAGAATGCCTGTTTATGTTCTGCTGCTTATTGACTAGTGCCAAAACATAAAATTGCTTCCTGGTATCATTAAACATCTAGTTTTTTCACTGATACAGCCTTGATTTTGAGCAACTTATAAAACAGGAGTAAGGATCCAATCAGTGTAGGAAACAATTTGTATTGCTGTACTTTTATTTCTCGATCTGTAAAAAGAGGAATTATGCAGCAGTAGATAGACTTAATAGCAGTGAGACAGGTTCAACATCAGGAGCTACTGTGAGAAGAAAGGTTGGAAGCTTCAGCCTGGTATACAAAATACTAGCAGAGAGCTGTAGCTTGACTTTAAGTTATGCAATGTAATGTTCTGGATGCTGCTACAGGTTTGTTTAATTTCTGAAACTGCTACAGTTAAAGATTAAATCATTTCATTGTATAGCTTCTCTTGTTTGAGTCTTTGAAAACTGACTTTTTAAGGATCAGCTCTTGCTGCTCTATGCAATATCTAACTTCTACAGGAAGCTCTTTAATTTCAGCAAGAGTCCTAGTGGCATACAGCTACTATTCACATGCAGAACTGGCAGTGAAAAATTAGTCTCACACTGTTCATAGTAAGTTAACATACAGTCAAAAGACTTGCAGCTTGTTTTCTTATTGCATGCATTTTGAAACCAGTATCTTAAAAAGAGTATCAGAAACAAGTTCCCACTGAACCAGGATTTCTTAAAGGCAGTTAAGGGTGGATAACATAAGCCAAGGAGTGACACAGAAGATTTCAGTGATGATGTCATTTGAAAGAGTTGAACTAAGGTCTGTCCAGAGAATGAGGCTATTTTGGTTATCACATGACTGTCTCCGGCCTTGGTGCATACAAGTTTGTTTTGGTTTTTTTCCTGAAAGTTGCAATTATATTGTAACTGTTGCAAACGTTGCAAAAAGATCCTCTGACTCCATTGAACTTTTTAGCACAATAAGGAACTAAGAAGCTGCCTGTGCCATTTTCAAAAACAAATGAGATTTTCAATACTCTCAAGTTGATAACCAGAACTATAATACCCTTCAATGCTGCAGTAATTTGAAGAAGTAAACACCTGGTTTAATGGACTGTGGAATCCATGTACTGGAATCCAAGAAGTGAGTTGCCCCGAAACCTAGTAAGAAACAGAAAGGGTAACTAACACAAATGCATACTGTCTTCCACTCCAGAGGGTCTCAGGTTATATACAAACTACAGCCAAGAATTAAAAAGAGGTTGGGGGAGCTGCTTTTTAACAGCTATAGGACTATGAGGTACCAAAAAGGAATTTTCTGGTGACAAAGCAGGTTTCTGGAATTGTAACTGGTAACTTAAGAGTTTTTAGTAAATTCTTGCTCTGTGCGTGCTTTGAAATAAAAAACATTGCGCTCACCACTGAACACAATGCCATCGGAAGGGAACACAGCATCAGAAGTGATCACAGCATCATTTATTTACAGAGTAGGCTCATAAAGAAGGATAGCCAATGCAAACAAAAATTCAGAAGTAATCCTAAGCCAATAGACAGTAGTAATTACCCACACCAAATTTCAAACCAGCATGCAAGGCCAAAAACTATTCCTCTTGGAAAAAGGGGCTGTACAATCTGTGCAAGTTTCTGATTGTCAAGATAGCACAGCTGCGCACTGCCCCCAGAATGCCCCACCTGGCTCAGGGCTGAGAGGCTGATGAGGAAGAGTATCACCTCTCAATC